TTGCACTACTGCGGCCACACGCCCCTGCGCTGCAAAGCACCTCGCGCGAGGGTTCAAGGCATTTGCGAGTCGCGCGCGGTCGGCGTCGGTTCGCGTCTGGCGTCGGTTCGCGTCTGGCGTGCTCCGCTGAGTTGGCGTGCCCTGGCGGCTTTGTACTCTATTAGTGCTGGGCACTCGTGAAATGAAGCGACATGCCTGTCGCCACAGTTGGCGCATTTCGAGTTTTCCGGTTTTGAGCATTGGTCAAAGCAGTGCGGGCCGCCGCAGTACAAGCAAACTTCCCTCCTCCTGCAGCCGTTATGTGAGTGCCCCCAGAGCTGGCATCGCTTGCATTGCGGTACTCTATGCCTACCCCGATATTCCTCCCAGCGAATGGCCTTGCTGAGTAGGACAGTGGTATTTTTTATTGCGTTTATTTGTGTCTGATTTAGTTCTACTATGTAGAGACCCATGGACTCAAAAGTTTTGGCGCCCGTCTCCGTGTACACGGCGCGTTTCATCTCGCTCACATGAAGGATTGTAAGCCCCTATGATTCGAGTTCGCTTTTGATATTATCAAGCGATTCCCCATTTTGAAGGCCGCGAATGACCATTCGGTTGCGCCTTTCCTCGGTGGCGCGCCGGAAGAAAAACTGCGCATGCTGGTTATACGTTTGCATGCGCGTGAGAATTTTAATAATTTCCCCATGATCCTTTACGCAGCCGGGCCTGATTGTGAAAAATGAGGCAGATGATGTGCCTCGCAGGGGCATCGTGAGGTGGGGGCGGAGCGCACTCATGAGCGCCTGAGCATCTATTGGCTGCTCTATAACTATTTCACCCACGGTTTGGCGTGGGCGCGGAGCAGCTGCGCGGGGAGTGGGCTGAGGGCCGGGGGTGTATTTGCAGCTGTTGGGGGAGAAGGTTGTTGCGTGGCGGTGCGTTGCGAACGCGTATCGAGGATCTGATAGCGGTTCGCCGTTGGGAACGCTTGGGGCTGGGCGGTGTTTGTAACTCTCCTGGGGCGGAAGATCTTGGTGGCGAGTTGCCAGCCTTCGTCGGTTGATTTTTCAGTTTCCGGCAGGGCGTTTTCTGGGTGGGGCGGCATGGCGTCGTGGGTGGAAATTTCGGTGGCATTTTCGGCGGCGGGAGGGCTGTTCGGGCCGGCCTCGGCGGGGCTATCAGGGTTCGACATGGTGGACGCGCCTGACTGGCAGTTGTTTACAGGGGGCTCAGAGGGCTGGTGTATTTGCGCCGCGCCGTCGGCGGTGCATGTTTGAGATTCACCAGTGTGTTGTGGTGATGTTGAGGCTGTGTGGGAGGTCGGCAGCTCGGCGACGTTCCTGGTTCGTGGGCGGCTCTGATGGCCGGTGGTGTCAGCTGCCGCGTGTTCCTCCTGGCGGCGTTGCAGTTCAGCTAGCAGATCTGCTTCTTTCCGCCTCGGGATGGAGCACGCGTGGACGGTGTTCGGTCCGAGTTTGTATCGGCACGCGTGGCAGTTGCTCTTTCGCGTAAACCGGTACGGCGAGACAGAGTGAGCGAGCTGTCTCGTTGGCGTTGTTGACGCGTTTGTAAGGGGGAAAGATTTAGAAGTGTTTCATCACTTATCATTATCACTTATCATGCCTTGTTAGGGCATTTTGTATTTAATTTGTTGCTATCTAATTTATTAAATTTAAATTTTAAATTTATTCTAATGTTCTTAAGTTTATGATGTCAGTTAAATTGATTCTGAAGCGCTCGATGCGCACGGACGGCTACGCACACGGGTGGTTCGCACTCGGCGCGGAGGGAGCTGGTGCTCTACCTCTCGACGCGCGAGGCCTGCGTCCGCGTTGATGTTTTGCGGACGGCTATGTATTTCTAATGCCTCTTTTATGCGTCTCGGCCAGTATAGGTTTTCCTTGTGCAGGAGCCGAGTCTTGTCGAAGTCAATGGCATGTCCC